ACACAAGCATTAATGGAAGCGAATTAGGGATAACAACACACGAAAAGGACTTGGGAATTGTTATAGACAACAAACTATGCAACAATGTGCAATGTCAATCATCAGTGGCCAAGGCCAGTAAGGTATTGTCATGCATTAAAAAGGGCATTCATTCTCGGGACGAAAATATAATTTTGCCTCTTTATAAATCACTGGTAAGACCACATTGAATATGCTGTGCAATTGTGGGCACCTGTTCTAAAGAAGGATATTATGGCACTAGAAAAAGTGCAGAGGCGTGCTACAAAATTACTAAAAGGAATGGAACATATCAGCTATGAAGAAAGGTTGACAAATTTAAAGCTATTTAGTTTAGAAAAACATTGCCTGAGAGGGCATATGATAACATTATACAAATATATTTGGGGCCAATACAAACCATTGTGTGGAAATCTATTCACAAACCGGACTTTGCATATGACATGAGGTCATGCGTTTAGACTGGAATAAAGAAGATTTCATCTAAGGCAAAGGAACGTTTTTTTTTTACTGTAAGAACAATCAGGATGTGGAATTCTCTGCCTGAAGAAGTAGTTTTATTTGAGTCCATACAGATGTTCAAACAGCTACTAGATGCATTCTTGCAAAAACAGAATATTCAAGGATATACTCTTTCTATGTAGGATAATAACTGCTTGATCCAAGGATAAATCTGACTGTCATTCTGGGGTCAAGAAGGATTTTTTTTCTAGTTTGTTGCAAAATTGTGCTTCAAACTGGGTTTTTTGCCTTCTTTTGGATCAACCGCAAAAAACAAATGTGAGGAAGGCTGAACTTGATGGACGCAAGTCTTTTTTCAGCTATGTAACTATGTATGTCTGACTTCCTTTTGTGTTTCTGCAGGAATTGTTTGGTAAAATGTTCGAAGGTCATAAACTAACACCATCTCAGTTTCTGTAATCATGGTAATTTAATGTGCGATCCAAAACCCCCTGGCATCTCTTTTAGTTTGTTAGCTAGAGATGTTGCCTAGATTTTGTTGTACAGAAAGTCAGGGCGGGATTAACATGGGCCCAGGCCCATGGAAAAGGCCTATTGATTTTAGGGATTCCACCTGGCTTTTTTATTTTATTGGCACATCCAGTATTTGAGGCTGCCTGGCTGATGCAAATATTGCAGTGATACTGGCTATACAAATGCTGGTATTTTTCTCAGTATAAACAAGAGATTACTATGCAATACCAGCACTGGCCAGTAGGGGTGGTTGTGTGTGGAGACAGGCAGAGATAGGAAGTTCCAGCATATCCCTCCCTGCCTGTCTATACTCACTGTTCCGCAGGGGAGCAGCTAAAGAGTGTCCAGACAGCAACTCCCACCCTGCAGAGACAGCCTACAGCTACAGCCTACAGTGCAGGGGGGAAGGCTGCAAGGAGACATATACTGAGACACTAAGGGACACTGGGAGACATTATGGCAGACACTAAGGGACATTGGGAGACATTATGACACAGTGTCCCCATGTCTCCCAGCCAGTGTCCCTGGTATCTCAGTGCCCCCTAGTCTCCCAGTGCCCCCGGTCTGCCAGTGTCTCACTGTCCCCATGTCTCCTAGTGCCTCCATGTCTCTCAGTGCCTCAAGTGTCACAATGTCCCCAAGCTAGTGTCCCTAGTGTCTGTGGCCCTGGTGTCTGTGTCCCCATGTCTCCCAGTGCCCCCATGTCTCAATGTCCCCATGTCCCCCAGCCAGTGTCTCTAGTATCTGTGTCCCCTATTTTCCCATTGTCCCCATGTGTCCCAGCCAGAGTCCCCTAGTCTCCCAGTGCCACTGGTGTCCCTAGGTCTCCCCGTGTCCCCAGGTCTCCCCGTCTTCCTAGTGTCCTAGTGACATGGGGACACAGGGAGACATGGGGCATTGAGACACTGATACATAGGATCACTGGGAGACCTGCAGACATGACACTAGGGGACACTGGGAGACATGGGGCACTGAGACACTGATACATAGGAACACTGAGACCTTGAGTAATCGACACATGGGGGCACTGAGTCATGAGGGCACTGGGAGACATGGGGGCACTGGGAGGAATCCATCTATACAGCAGATTTAAACGAAGTAGTTTTTTGGTGATTTTACAGCATTTTCTCTTATGTCACTCCTTGTGATTTACATCATGTGATGTCACCCATACATATTTAATTATGCAAATTAGTAAGACCGGTATGTTTTTCCAAGAAAGGTGGCAACCCTAACTACTTATCACATACTCTTACTTAAGTATGGAAACTTAAGAGTGATGTATATGAACAAAACTTGTGTGGACTGGCTGACAATGAATATAGTTAAAGGGACACTATAGTCACTACAGCTTATTGAATTTGTTCTGGTGAGTAGAATCATTACCATCAGGCTGTCTTTTCAGAGAAAATGCAGTCTTTACATTACATCCTAGTGATGACTTCACTGGCCACTCCTTAGATGACTGTTAGAGATACTTCCTGGGTCATGGCTGCCTAAAATGCATCCAAACATTCAGTGTCTCCTCCCTCTGCATGCAGACACTGAACTTTCTTCATAGAGATTCATTAATTAAATTCATCTATATAAGGAGATGCTGATTTGGCCAGGGCTGTGTTTGAATCATGCTGGCTCTGACCCTGATCTGCCTCTTTGTCAGTCTCAGCCAATCCTATGGGGCCACTGCTTGTTTTTCTGAGTCTAACAGCATGCAGAGTTACAGCTTCAGGCTTGAATATAGTAGGATTTTGCTATATTTATGGAGGCATGAGGGGCCCAATGGGGGCTAGATGGTGGTGTTAACACTATACGGTCATGAATTCATGTTTGTGTTCCTGACCCTATAGTGATCCTTTAAGGTAATGCTGACTTTGGTCTCTCTAACACTGTGGCATGTTCCCTTTCTTCTACACTCACTACATACAGCTTATCTCTGTCCCAGACCATATACCAGGAGCTTCTGCCTGTTAGTAAGAAGGTAAGGAGACAAGTGGACCAGCGAGTGCTAGGGGACAGTCCTTAGAAAGCGTTGAGTGAGCACATCATTAGATGCATTTATGCTAAGCTCAGGGTGCTGTCTGCATAGTATGCCCTTAGTTGGCCAGCTGCATGATTGGCAGGCAGCCTGACATGCATTCATGCCAGGCTGGCCTTCTAATTCTTTGAGCAGACTTTTCCTCTTTTTGGGCATGTTCGCCCCTTTTGGCAGGTTATGTGATTTGTGTCAGTGGAACACCCTTTTACCATGCCCATTGACGTATAAGACCCTTTTACCATGCCCATTGACTAACTGCTTGACTGGACACTGCTGTTAGGGGTTATGGATTTACTTGAAAGATGAAAACATAAATTAGAGAGAGATTAGCCTAGGGTATGTGTGTTTCTTATAGCTGCTGTTTTCTTTCTCTCCAGCACCATCTCCATCAGATACATGATGCTTGGGAGTGTTTTACTGTTTTTGGTCGATTTGATTCTGTAATTAGGCCCGTCATAATTGTCAGCATCAGGCCCACTGGGCTCTTAATCTGGCCCTGCAGGAAGTATATCTGAAGCCTCTTACATCATAATCTGTTTACTAGAATATAAATAATAACCATTGTTGTATAATGTCTTTAAAATGCAGAATTTGGGGGGGGGCATCAGTGATTTTTCACACAGTCAAATGCAGCAATTTTCTTAACATTTAATTTAGATTGAATTGCAAAGCATCATACAAGTGCATTTTAAGTAAAATTGCACTGGCAATACATCTGAAAAATTATATTAAGGCATCTCCATTGAACAGTTTCTGCTTAACATTTGCATCACAAGCAGTACCCATTTTCTTATACGTATGCAATGCAAATATGTCTTTAATTACTTTTATAATTAGAAAACTATTTAAGTGTTAATGAGATTTCATTATACATTGCCTATATTTTCATTTGTGTTCGAAACATTTGTGTTGAAAAAGGCATTCAACCTGATTACCTACTCATTTTCTTTGTAGTTTTATGTACAAAGCTGAAAATAAAAATGTAATAAAACTTACAACTTTAACATATCCTCTGTCATGTTTGGCTATAAAAAAATAAATAACAAGTTTACATAATGGAGGCTGTCAAACTATAATTTATAGAGATGTGCACACACACTTATATAATCTATGTAGAAAGCTTCAATATTACACTGCTAATATTAGTAGAGTTGAGCGGACACCTGGATGTTCGGGTCCGGCGGGTACGGACGAACTTTGAAAAAAAGTCCGGGTTCGGGCTCGAACTTGACCCCGAACCCCATTGAAGTCAATGGGGACACAGACTTTTGGACACAAAAATGCCTCTTAGAATAACATAAAAAATAAAATTACACCTGAGCCATAAAATAGCAATAGATGGAATATTTGATTTTAGCTTTGGAAGAACATAAATCAAAATCTAAAGCATGGCTGTCAGGAGGATCACCAGAATTATCCATTTGAGAGAGGGTTGGAGTGCAGGGTATTCTCTTTCATTGTTCAAACTGAGTTCAACTCTTGATGCATGGAGAAAAGGCCTTCACAAGCCTCTGCTATTGTGTACATAGTTTATACTAAGTGACCCATAGGTTGAGGAGGCGGTGACCGTGGTGGTGTAGGTGGAAGCAGTGTGGTGGAGGAGGTAACCAACACTGTTTTTTTATATATATATATATATATATATATATATATATGTATATTTTTTAATTGGGGTAGCCCCCAAAATATTGGGACATACAAAAAAAAGAAACATTTGCGGCCTGCGGTGCATTTCTTGCAGTCCTGATGCATGGAGAAATGCTCAACTCCTGATGCATGGAGAAAAGGCCTTCACAAGCCTCTGCTAATGTGTACCTAGTTTATACTAAGTGACCCATAGGTTGAGGAGGCGGTAACCATGGCGGTGTAGGTGGAAGCAGCGGTGGAGGAGGGGGATGAGGTAGCCAACACTGTTTTTATATATATATATATATATATATATATTTTTTTTTTTTAATTGGGGTAGCCCCCAAAATATTGGGACATATAAAAAAAGACAACTCTGTTCCGCAGAGTAGCTGTTGACATTATAGTTGCACAGGCACTTTGTTGACTCTAGAGAACCTCGGGCCAATCGCACATCCCCGTGGCGGTGACTTTGCATGCGGATGTCATCCATATCAACTTTTGATGCCAGTTTCTGCGCCTACCATGGTGACCATGGGTAACAGGGAATCAGGGTTCCATTCCGTACAGGGACCCTGAGAAACCATATGCAAGGAAGGCAGTAGGCGTGCAAATGACCCACTCCCGACGCAGGAAAGTAGTGATGACGAATAACAATACAGGACTCTTTAGAGGCCCAGTAATTGTAATGAGTCCACTTGAAATCCTTTAACTCTGATCAATTGGAGCGAAGTCTGGTGCAGAGCCACTGACCCGTGCGTGCTGCAGCTGAAACTCCACTATTGCCTGCTGCTGCTCGCACAGTCTCATGAGGCGGTGAGTGGGAAGGCCAAAGTTATGCTGCAGCGCAGACAGGCGAGCAGCAGCAGGGTGACAACGCCAAAAGTGCACACAGCCGCTACAGTGAATGTCACATTCTGGTCCAAGTTGCGGATCAGTCTGGTGATGGCTTTTGATATCCAGTACTCTTTTTTTACTGAAGCTGCATCAGGGTCCTGGTACGTGGCCACACAAACGCTGGTGCTCAACACCAAAGGGCGTGCAGTTACCCTGCACCAGACCCTGATAATTCATTCCACACTGTGACTCCTAACTTCAACATCAGGCATACTGGGTCCCGGTCGTCCAACCGCCGCCGTCTGGGTCCTGGTCACCCACCTGACTGTGAAACTACGAATGGATCATTATATCTGGTACGAGGCCGAACTTTGCAGTTCGGGTTCACTCAACTCTATTATGGATCCTTTGATTGCTACATGTATTACTTGGATAACTGTTAACTCTCGAGCTAATACATGCCGACGAGCACTAGGGGACGGCCGCTCCGCTTTTGCACCCTGCTCCCTCTAATGTTGTGCTGCACCTCTTCCTCCAAACTGCACATGTCACTCGCATGACCTTGATTCCATGTGGGGTCTAGGACCTCGTCATCCTCCACATCATCTTCCACCCACTCCTCAACCCTGCCCTCCTTGCTGGTATGCACACTGCAGAAAGCCACAGCAGTTGGCACCTGTGTTTTTCCAGCATGTAAAGTCTGCAAAGGAGATGGAAATTGTTTTAGAATTGTATCCAGGCAACATTTTTCCTATAAACTGACCACTCATTTTGACTTGTGAGAGTATTGCCCCAGAATTACAATATTGTTTAAGTACCTCTTAGCTATTGATAACTGGTTTAAATAAATCAGCTTGTTATCTGGTAGTTTCTAGTGTAGAAAATGTCAATCTGTTTTCTATCACTTAGATCTGTGTAACAAATGTTTTAGGTGTGAAACAATATTACAAGTGACCGATGCAGTAAATTCAAATCAAAGTTCCATTTGCAAAAAAAAAAAAATTTGACAATCTTCTGTGGGTTATTGCATTTTTAAGATGTAGACTTATTGTATCACACTAGCCATGCACAGGTAGATTGTCTGGCACGTTGTTTTGGTGTTTGGGTTTTAACTTTGTAGTTGTGTCTTTACACAATATAGAAATGTATATTAATGCTTCTGTATATGAAGCGATCACAATAACACTTATTTTTCACTTTTTTAAAAAGTCTTTAGACTTTCTTGAGAAGCGGTAACTAGCCAGTGTTGCACACATACACCAGTTATGAAGTGCACACCCCAAATGTACTATTTAGCACCTAAAGAATTTGAATGTTTAAAAATGTGCTGTAACCACAGTATTTGACGGTTCTATTTGACTCTCAGATATGAAGTGCAGGCCACAAATGTACTATTTAGCACCTAAAGAATTGAAATGTTTACAAATGCGCTGTAACCACAGTATATGACGGTTCTATTTGACTCTCAGATATGAAGTGCACCGCAGGCCGCAAATGTACTATTTAGCACCAAAAAATTAGATTTTTTTTAAACAAACAATGTAACATTTAAGGGTCTTATTGGACTGCAAGAAATGCAGTACGCAAATGTACTGTTTAGCACCAAAAAAAATTGCAGTATTTACAAATGCCTAGATGTTGCCCACTGAGCTACCAGAACAGGATTCATGTAATGTGCCTGGCACACGTGCAGTTGCAAGTGCACAGCACTCTCTGTGGCACTGGGTTCAGGGCAGGATACAAAAATGTAGTATAGCACCCACAAAAATAATCGCTGTAGTTTGCAGATTCAACACCAGAATTCTTTCCTAATCTGTCCCTCACAGCTGAAGCATCCTCTCCCTACTCTAATAAGAGCTCATGTGCGTGCGGCGCTACATGACTCCAGCTTATATATAGAGCCTGGGTCACATGCTGTACTGGCCAATCACAGCCATGCCATTAGTAGGCATGGCTGTGATGGCTTCTAAGGGCACACGAGTCAAATGCTTGTTGATTGGCTGCCCTGCAGCCTTTCAAAACGCGCCATTAAATTGCCAAACAACGAACTCCAACCTGAACATACACTGATATGTCAGTGTTCGTGTCCGAGGTCCAAAAAACGTAATGTTCGGTACGAACCCTAACTTTACAGTTCGGGTTCGCTCAACTCTACTTAATGGTTTTTATCTCTAAGTGGTTTGAAAATGGATTTAGTTTACAGACTTCTGAATATTATCTATGTAATCTAGAACACAACAATTTATATCTACGTGAAATACAGAAATTATCTTTCACAGTGTACAAACAATACAGTACAGCAAGGGACAAGTTTGGCTGTGTGCACCTGATGTGTTTCTGGGTATTTTTTCCATCGGAGGAAATAGAATGTTGGATTCATTTGACATTATAGCTTGGAAGTAATATGCTTCTAGCTATTGGATAGAAAGAACAATTGAAAAGGGGATATGTAGTAGCTTAGTTTAATGAATAGCACAATGCACAACAAGTAAAAGCTAATTATTCATATGGTAAATTAACAATGCAAGGAAAGCAACTTCCAAGCTGTGTAAGAGGTAACAATGAGATCCCACTGAGCAAATCTGTCCATCCAGTGAAAATGGCACTAACTGGTAAGCCTAATATTTTATGTTGTAAACTCAATGATTATATGAAGTGCAGAAAAATTCATATTAATTTAAAAATAATCATTGTCATAAATCAAGCTTAAATATATCTTTCTGCAAACCTCCTGTACTCTCAGATATAGCAGACAAATTAAATAAACATTTCAGCACTATAAATACATTATTAAAAAATTTGAAAATAAAGAAAAACAGAGTGACTAATTGCCCTGGCCTATAGATAAAGAGAAAGGTAATACTTAACTTTTAATTCTAAATAATTATAAAAGGTATGACCGCAGAATGTCAATAACCAAAATGAACAAAAAAATAACAAATAAAGGTATGGGTATAAGTACAAGTGTAAAAGACACATGTCACATAATACTTGTAAATATGAGCAAAGAAAAATAGAAAAAAAAAGTATGTACAGAATAATAAACAGTAAATGCTAAATTTTACGCTGGATTATCAGTATGGTTGTCAAAGGTAGAGCAGTGTATCATTTTGTAGATGTCTATCACAACAACATGCAGCCAGTGTTAGAAAAATGCAACATTGTATCTGATAAAAATGCTGCTAATCTGAGCCAGGGGAAACCCTCGGCTAAGTGGTGCTCAGTACCTGAATAAACATGTAAAAATATAAGAATAAAGGGTAAAGTGCCAAAAGAGTCTTATATAATTGGCAAAACCTGAAGCATAAATCCGATCTGTATACTGCTCCTGTAGGACCTAATCTGTGCCTTCAAGGGCACCTGTGCTTATAAGCAATATCTCACTGTCTCGAGGGAACAGTAGACATGGATATCAGAATGCCCAAGTTACCCTGTAGTATCAGTATAGTTGTCAGAGGTACTGGTTGAGCATCAAAATAACATGTAGCAAGTGTGGAAAATAGGTAACATAGTGTCTGATGAAATGCTGCTGTGCTGGGCCAGGGGGAACTCTTGGCTAAGTGGTGCTCAATACCTAATGCCACATATGACAAATAAAAAAAATCCTATTGAATTGAAGATAATCATAATAATTGTAAAAACTAAAGCATAAATCCTACCAGTGTACTGCTTCTGTAAGTCCTAATCTGTGCTTTCAAGGGCACCTGTGCTTACCTGCTAAGTCTAGTTGTTACTAAGGCGCAGTACACTGCTGAATATCAATGAATACCTGAGTAAGTAAATGGTGTAATGAACGGTAAATAACGATATTTCTTACATCCAGTGACTGTTAGGATATGTTCAGTGTGGAGAGAAATAAGAATAACCACGGGTAGAAGGGGACTCCCAACGCGCATTTTGCCGGTTGGGCAGTGTAACGGCACACTGGGTATAGAAGGGGTTAAACACCGTCTGAGATGTACCCTTCCTGACTATAAAGGCAGCTATCAACACTCCAATCAGCCGACCAAGCAAAACCATACGAATGCTCCAAACCATACGAACACTCCAAACAGCCGAACCAGCAATCCTACGAAATCCATACACCAGATAGTCGAACAGGAAAACCATACGAATAATCCCCCCAAGTATGAGACGAGGCTCTGTATTGAGGGTCAAGTAGAAATCTGATTTAATGTGGGCCATCTGTCCGGTATTTATGCAGGTCTTCCACCAGGTGGACACTCCCCTAGGGGACCTGGTGGAAAACTAGGGGAACAGTAATACAGTAGCCAATGAGAACAGTTTGGCTATAAACACTCCCCTTTAGGTGTGGTGGACCCTCCTCTCTATCCTGGAGATAATTGGGAAGTAATTAAATTATCTCCAAGGATAGAGGAAAATCGCCATTTTGTACATGTTAATAAAAATGCATAAAAATATAAAACTTTAAAACTCACGAACCGAATTCCCACATTCAATGAACCCCCAGATTGCCTGGATCTGAGCGCACAATATTACTGAATAGCGCTCAGATCCCATACACACAGTTCAATCTCCATGGAGCCAAAGTCTTTCACACAGTCTTTCGGTATACAAATGGGCTCCATGGGATCGCTATCTGGGGTGGCTCTGTTCGTAGGAAAATGTACCTAATGGACGGTGTTTGTGTGAATGTGAAAACGGATGAAGGGAGGTCAGCGGTGTTCGTGTGAAAACTGTAGCCGTTTATAGTTCTACGAAATCGTCGAAACACCGTTGGGATGGCCGCCGCCTCGTATTTGTTCATTTGAACGATGCCCACCAAGTCGACCATTAACAAGAGGAAGTGTCTGCGGTTAACCACAACATTCGAATGTGGCCAAGAGGTTAACAAGCAGCACACTTCCCCGCTGGGTGGCAGGCCGTTCAGCAAATAGTTCGGTGAAATGGGGAAATAACATAGGGCCCGTACGGACAGGGAAATGCAATAACAAACAGACGAATGAGCAGAAAATTCCAAGACAGAGGGATCTGTCACAGGCGGCTCTTCAGGGCAAAAGAACCTCTAATTGGTGATTGGAAGTGTCCAATCTATCTCAGTGCTCGGTTGATTGACAGATGAGTCAGCCAATAGGGTCACTGGAAAGCCAGCCTTGCATCAGTGTCCCTATGTATCACAGTGTCAGTGTCCCCATGTTGCCCAGTAGTGATGTCCCGAACGGTTCGCCAGCAAACAGTTCCTGGCGAACATCGCTTGTTCACGTTCGCCACGGATGGCGAACATATGCGCTGTTCGGTCCACCCCCTCTTTCATTGTTCAAACTGAGCTCAACTCCCGATGCATGGAGAAAAGGCCTTCACAAGCCTCTGCTATAGTGTACACAGTTTATACTACGTGACCCATAGGTTGAGGAGGCGGTGACCGTGGCGGTGTAGGTGGAAGCGGTGGTGGAGGAGGTAGCCAACACTGTTTTCACATATATATATATATATATATATATATATATATATATATATATATATATATATATATATATATATATATATTTTTTTTTTTTTTAATTGGGGTAGCCCTCAAAATATTGGGACATACAAAAAAAAGAAACATTTGCGGCCTGCAGTGCATTTCTTGCAGTCCTGATGCATGGAGAAATGCTCAACTCCTGATGCATGGAGAAAAGGCCATCACAAGCCTCTGCTAATGTGTACATAGTTTATACTAAGTGACCCATAGGTTGAGGAGGCGGTGACCATGGCGGTGTAGGTGGAAGCAGCGGTGGTGGAGGAGGATGAGGTAGCCAACACTGTATTTATTTATATATATATATATATATATATATATTTTTTTTTTTTTTTTTTTCTTTTTTAAATTGGGGTAGCCCCCAAAATATTGGGACATATGAAAAAAGACAACTCTGTTCCGCAGAGTAGCTGTTGACATTATAGTTGTGCAGGCACTTTGTTGACTGTAGAGAACCTCTGGCCAATTGCACATCCCTGTGACGGTGACTTTGCATGTCATCCATATCAACTTTCGATGCCAGTTTCTGCACCTACCATGGTGACCACGGGTAACGGGGAATCAGGGTTCCATTCTGTACAGAGACCCTGAGAAACGGCTACCACATGCAAGTAAGGCAGCAGGTGTGCAAATGACCCACTCCCGGGAAGGTAGTGATAACAAATAACAATACAGGACTCTTTAGAGGCCCTCTAATTGTAATGAGTCCACTTGAAATCCTTTAACTCTGATCAATTGGAGGGAACTCTGGTGCAGAGCCACTGACCCGTGCGTGCTGCAGCTGAAACTCCACTATCGCCTGCTGCTGATCGCACAGTGTCATGAGGCGGTGAGTGGAAAGGCCGAAGTTACGCCGCAGCACAGACAGGCAAGCAGCAGCAGGGTGAGAATGCCAAAAGTGCGCACAGCCGCTACAGTGAATGTCACATCCTGTTCCAAGTTGCGGATCAATCTGGTGATGGCTTCTGGTATCCAGTACTCTTTTTACTGAAGCTGCATCAGGGTCCTGGTATGTGGCCACACAAACGCTGGTGCTCAACACCAGGGGGTGTGCGGTTACCCTGCACCAGACCCTGCTAATCCATTCCACACTGTGACTCCTAACTTCAACATCAGGCATACTGGGTCCCGTACGTCCGACCGCCACCCAGACATTGTCTGGGTCCTGGTCACCGGACTGCCCACCTGACTGTGAAACTACGAATGTATCGTTATATATCTGGTACGAACCCGAACTATGCAGTTCAGGTTCGCTCAACTCTATTATGGATCCTTTGATTGCTACATGTATTACTTGGATAACTGGTAATTCGTGAGCTAATACATGCCGACGAACGCTAGGGGACGGCCACTCCACTTTTGCACCCTGCTCCCTCTTATGCTGGGCTGGTGCCTCTGTGCGACCAGCGCCTCTTCCTCCAAACTGCACACGTCACTCGCATGACCTTGATTCCATGTGGGGTCTAGGACCTCATCATCCTCCACATCATCTTCCACCCACTCTCAACCCTGCCCTCCTTGCTGGTATGCACACTGCAGAAAGCCACAGCAGTTGGCACCTGTGTTTTTCCAGCATGTAAAGTCTGCAAAGGACATATGGAAATTGTTTTAGAATTGTATCCAGGCAACAGTTTTCCCTATAAACTGACCTCTCAGTTTGACTTGTGAGGGTATTGCCCTAGAATTACAATATTGTTTAAGTACCTCTTAGCTATTGATAACTGGTTTAAATATATCAGCTTGTTATCTGGTAGTTTCTAGTGTAGAAAATATCAATCTGTTTTCTATCACTTAGATCTGTGTAACAAGTGTTGTAGGTGTGAAACAATATTACAAGTGACCGATGTAGTAAATTCGAATCAAAGTTCCATTTGCAAAAAAAAATTCTCGCCTATCTTCTGTGGGTTATTGCATTTTTAAGATGTAGACTTATTGTATCACACTAGCCATGCACAGGTAGATTGTATGGCACGCTGTTTTGGTGTTTGGTTTTTAACTTTTTAGTTGTGTCTTTGCACAATATAGAAATGTATATTAATACTTCTGTATATGAAGCGATCACAATAACACTTATTTTTCACTTTTTTTAAAAGTCTTTGGACTTTCTTGAGAAGCGGTAACTAGCCAGTGTTGCACACATACACCAGATATGAAGTGCACACCCCAAATGTACTATTTAGCACCTAAAGAATTTGAAATTTTAAAACTGCTATGTCACAGCAATATTTGACGGTTTTATTTGACTCTCAGATATGAAGTGCAGGCCCCAAATGTACTATTTAGCACCTAAAAAAATTGAATGTTTAAAACTGCAATGTAAGCACAGTATTTGACGGTTCTATTTGACTCTCAGATATGAAGTGCAGGTCCCAAATGTACTATTTAGCACCAAAATTTTAGATTTTTTTTAACCAACAATGTAACAGTAGTATTTAAGGGTTTTATTAAGCTGCAAGAAATGCAGTACGCAAATGTACTATTTAGCACAAAAAAAATAGCATTTTTAAAAAATGCCTAAATGTTGCCCACTGAGCTACCTGAACAGGATTAAAGAAATGTGCCTGGCACACATGCAGTTGCAAGTGCACTGCACTCTCTGTGGCACTGGGCTCAGGGCAGGGTACAAAAATGTAGTATAGCACCCACAAAAATAATCACTGTAGTTTGCAGATTCAACACCAGAATTCTTTCCTAATCTGTCCCTCACAGCTGCAGCATCCTCTCCCTACACTAATAAGAGCTCATGTGACTCCAGCTTATATAGAGGCTGGGTCACATGCTGCACTGGCAAATCACAGCCATGCCATTAGTAGGCATGGCTGTGATGGCTTCTAAGGGCACACGAGTCAAATGCTTGTTGATTGGCTGCCCTGCAGCCTTTCAAAACGCGCCATTAAATTGCCAAACAACGAACTCCAACCTGAACATACACTGATATGTCAGTGTTCGTGTCCGAGGTCCAAAAAACGTAATGTTCGGTACGAACCCTAACTTTACAGTTCGGGTTCGCTCAACTCTACTTAATGGTTTTTATCTCTAAGTGGTTTGAAAATGGATTTAGTTTACAGACTTCTGAATATTATCTATGTAATCTAGAACACAACAATTTATATCTACGTGAAATACAGAAATTATCTTTCACAGTGTACAAACAATACAGTACAGCAAGGGACAAGTTTGGCTGTGTGCACCTGATGTGTTTCTGGGTATTTTTTCCATCGGAGGAAATAGAATGTTGGATTCATTTGACATTATAGCTTGGAAGTAATATGCTTCTAGCTATTGGATAGAAAGAACAATTGAAAAGGGGATATGTAGTAGCTTAGTTTAATGAATAGCACAATGCACAACAAGTAAAAGCTAATTATTCATATGGTAAATTAACAATGCAAGGAAAGCAACTTCCAAGCTGTGTAAGAGGTAACAATGAGATCCCACTGAGCAAATCTGTCCATCCAGTGAAAATGGCACTAACTGGTAAGCCTAATATTTTATGTTGTAAACTCAATGATTATATGAAGTGCAGAAAAATTCATATTAATTTAAAAATAATCATTGTCATAAATCAAGCTTAAATATATCTTTCTGCAAACCTCCTGTACTCTCAGATATAGCAGACAAATTAAATAAACATTTCAGCACTATAAATACATTATTA